GCCGGGCGGTGGTGGCACACGCCTTTAATCCCAGCACTCGGGAGGCAGAGCCAGGCGGATCTCTGTGAGTTCGAGGAAAGCCTGGACTACAAAAAAAAAAAAAAAAAAAAAAAAAAAAAAAAAAAAAAAAAAAGTTTGGAATCAGTGGGGCCAAAGGAAAAGATTGGAGCATCACTGGCTGAAAGATTCACTCATCTCTTTATTCACGTACATTCACCAGCTACTTTAAAGATTCCAATGGTGAGCAAATTAAACATGAATCTAGTTTCCACAAATTTGTTTGCTCAGTGAGGGATGTTGAAGATCACCCTCCTCCCAAGTCCTTGCATCAAACTCACACTAGTATTGAAGATAGCCTGGCTTTGGGCTGGCAGAATTAAGGGGTCTATGTTTATATTTCCGTAGTTCAGACATTCTTATGAGTCTTTCCTGAAAATACAGGCTTTCAGGGTGTGGTATCAAAGCAGGTGTCAGCCAGTAATTTGTGGGACAAAGAGAGATGAGCAAGAGCTGCACTTCCCATTGAGCTGTGTTTTTCTGGATGTTGTGTGCACAGAGTCCACAGCCATGTACATTGTAGCAAATTTCCTTTGTTGTGGTCTGTGGGGTAAATGTGATCTTAATGGTGCCCAGTAAAAAAGAAATGTTATGATCTGTTTTGACAAGGCCTCTTTAAGAGAATTTTTTTATTTATTTGCTAAAGTTTTTGCTTCTCAGTTCTCTCAGCCCAAAAGACAGTACCTCCAGCACTTACTAAGTAGGGTCTCCTAGATAAACCCATCTGTAGGTGGCTTTGATAAATTAAAGTTCCTAAGAACTTTTAAGTGAACTTTTGCCATTTCATTTTAAACAGCAGGTTATGATTGGTATATATCCTAAAGTTTAGTACTATTTTCAGTACATAGCTATCCTATGTCTTATCAGAATTAACTGAAAAATTTTACAACTTAGAAAATCCTTCATTATTCAAAACGTTGTTGTAATCAAAAGAAGAACTTATAGCTCTACTAATGACCCTCTAAAACATGGCTGCTTCTGTACATTCCTGTGTGTGGCATCTAGTAAGCTTTCTGGTATGTATGCTCTGAAGCACATGAGTTTTCTTCCCTTCAGCAATGTATGCAATCTAACTTTTATCAAACATGCACATCTTACTTATGGGTTGCTGTTCATTCAGGTCGCTCCATTTTCTTACATTGAATTTCTTAAGGTGTGTGTCTTACTGTAAAGAACATTTTTTTTTTTATCTCTTCAGCTAACACTTGCTCTAGTGCTGATGCAGGTAGAGATTAAGCTGACTTCACCAGCAAATCTCTCCAGTAGAATATGCCTTGTAAGGCACAGAATGCACACTGTAGGTGCAGGAATGGAACCTGCCTGTCTTAGGCTTGCACCCCTCGCCATTTGTAAGCTTAGTATTTCTGAATACACCATGAAGCTGTACGATGTTTGTGGGATGAAAAATCAGGTATTTTAGAGAAAATTAATTATATCCAGCTAAAATGAAGCAAACACAAAATTTAAAGCTGAAACAATTTTGAACTATTTATATATTATATATTTATATATAATTTTTGTATGATATATAATATATAATAAAATATATTATAAAAAATCAACCAACACAAAATCTTCTTTCTCTAAATAAATATGAATTTGTGTTTGTGTACAAAATGGTTTGTTTCCACATTTCAAAGACTGCCTTTGCATTTCCTGTCTGGCTCTTCCAGAGTTCCCTCTGTAGGACCTCTCGAAAAGAAGGGAATACCTTTAAACCTCGCTTGATTTAAATGAACAGGCGGCTAAGCCTGATCAGACATGCCTGTGGTGAATATCTCAAACCATTGTAAAGCTTGGCTGTCCTGGTTGGTTCCCGGGGATGCTGGGTCCCCATTGCTAAGCCTCAGGGCTCACCTCTTTTCTTTCTCTCTTTTTAAATTGTCTTTGTTTCAGATTTCCTGTTGATTTTTTTTTCCCTAACCATCTCAAAAATCACCCAGTTGTTGTTTCAAAACTTTTCCGCAACCTCCAGACTCAACCCAAAAGCCGTGTCTGTCCCCAAATGACTGTGCCCTCCCACAAGAGCGCAGAGGGCGTTGAGTGTGCACTTAGACCGCACATGCTTAATCAGAATGCGATGAGGATGTACACTTGCGTTGTCAAGCACTTTCTGTTTGTGACACTCAGTTTTCTTCTGATTTTGTTTCCACAGGACATTTGGGCTTCCAGGACAGTTTTGTCACATCAGGTGTTTTCAGTGTGACCGAGCTAGTAAGAGTGTCACAAAGTAAGTATAGTTTTGCTCTGATTTGATCCGAATTTGCCGTCCATTTGTGTTTCCTCTCTTAGGGCGTTAACACTTTCAGAAAAGCCTTTTTGTTCTTCTCCTTAGAGGAACTATACCACTGAGTTTGTTTAAAAGCCAGCATTTTTAAGCTAGGAATCATTAAGTATTTTAATGGGGGCCATTGTGGTAAGGACCAATACTGAATGTCTCCCATAGTCCTGGGAGCATAATGTGAACTTGGCTTTAAAAGATCTTGAATCTTCCCTGCTCTGGTTTCTGAGGAATTCTGCATTTAAAAGAATTTGTTTCTGACCTTTAAGCAATGCTAATGCTCTCAGTTTGAGTGGCACATTACAGCCTGGTCATTACCAGCTTGTCGATAACAACTACAGCAGTGACGGAAGAGTAGGTGCCACCACTGAGTTCTGTTGATCAAAGGCCCATTGATTGTATGTTTGTTATGGCATAATCCAAATCCAGGAAGCATGGAAGTCTGTCTGTCTTTGACTCTCTGTCTCTTCTTTTCGCACCCCACACATCCATTTGCCCTCCCTCCAGAATATCTCTGTTTTAAAAGCATTCCTCAAGTGACCACCAGTGCTCTCAGTCTCCATTTAAAAGTGAAATTACAAGGGAACCCACAGCAACAACTAACCTGGGCTCATAGGAGCTCACAGAGTCTGGACCAACAGCCAGGGAGCCTATATGGGACGGATCTAGGTACTCTACATATGCATGACATTTGTGTAGTTTGGTCTACATGTGGTCCCCTAGCAGTGGGAGCAGGGGCTGTCCCTAATGCTTTGGCTGGCATTTGGGAACTATTCCTCACACTGGGTTGCCTTGCCCAGCCTTAATACAAAGAGAGGAGCTTAGTCCTACCTCAACTTGATATGCCATGCTTTGTTGATACCCATGGGAGGCTTGCCCCTTTCTGAACAGAAACAGGAAGAGTGGATGGGGGAGGAGTAGGGGTGTGGGGGGGAGGGAATGGGAAGAGAGGAGGGAGGGGAAACTGCAGTCAGGATGTAAAATAAGTGAATAAATTTAATTAATAAAAAAGTGAAATTAAGCATAAATATTAAAAGTTTACTCTTATATCCTTTACCTACTTGAAAATACTAAAGGTAGGTAAGTGTATATTGTTAAACCTGGCTTTCAAATGGCATCAAACTATTTATGGAAGGAAATGGAGATTGTAGCTCCTGGTGTATGTGTTATAGGCTCACAAGGGTGCCTGGGTAAACCAGTTGGCCCTAATAGATGCCAGGAAAATCAAGCCAGCTTGATCTTCCAAGCCTAGATTCTTTCAGCTCTTGTTTCGGTCATCACAGCCTGGAATAATCTTGAGGGTGCAAAAAATAGGGTATGATGTGGGCCTGAAGGAAAATCCAGGGATTCTTGAACATTTATTATTTGCTAAGCACTCTGCTAGGCCTTGGAGAAGGGTGCATCAGTTAATCCTGGCAACAAACTCGAAGGTTACAGGTGACCCTAAGGATCATTTATCTAGTTGAAGTCATTTATTCAAAGTCAAAGAGTGAGTAAATGCTTCAGCTAAGCCTTGATGTGGCTACAATGTCTACTCTGAGACTAACTCAGGGGGAGTTGAGAAACTTTTCTGTTTAAGACCAGGCAGGTTAAGTAATGGAAAGGCAACTGTGTGCCCTAGAATTCTGGCTGTCAGGGAGGCTGCCATTGGTGGTGAGGAACTTCTGGGTGGCCATGGTGGAATCCTCAAAGGGAGGCAGTCGAAGGAGCAGGTGGTGGCCTGCAGTGGAGATCCTGTGACTGTATTATGTTCAATGTGTCCAAAGTGCCGGCTGAGGGGGAATTTAGATGGCTTTGTTGACAGGAAGACATGTGCTTCCCTGGTTAGTGCATGGTTGATTAGCCAGTCTAGGATCTGGCCATAGACAGATAATAATGCACATATATTAAAGGTGGTCAATATTCTACATTTTTCTTATGCTCTTACTAATAATAGTATATAAAGAGTACATCTTATCAGAGTGTATCAGTCATATAGCAGCACTAGAGGGAAGTATATTTATTGAAGCTTTATTGAGATCCAAGCATAGCCTTGATTTAAAAAAAAAAAATCCTTTTCGCTCTAATATTAGAGCTCTAGCCCGTTTCATTCTGCCGTGGCTGCTCAAATCTTGCATTAGTCTTCATTACCAGCAGAGTTCCAAGGTCTGGGGCTTGTAAGAGGCCAGACAGCTCAGAAACATCCCTGGCATCTCGCCCTTCCTCCCTTCCCTTATTTTCCTTTCAGGTCTTAGAGCCAAGATTGATTAGCCCTGCACTGAGTCTAAGGCAGCATGATTGCCAAGTGAATTCTACATGTTCCTTCAAGACTGCCAGAGGGGATGCCTGCCCTTGGGGCTAAGTTTGCAGAGTGTCTTGGATTGTTTCCTGTGCCTATGTAGGGGGCTGGTTAGCAAAGGCCTGGCATTGTGAGGCTCCTTCAGCTTCTCAGTGCTTTCCGATCCTGCACACTGCTGTGGAATCGCTCCAGGACGCACTCACACATGGCCTTGTGCTGACTGCAACAGTTTGGCAAGAGTAGGACCGGGCTGCATCAGCTAAACCATGGCTTCAGCCCACACTGGTCAACTGGATGCCAGAGACCCTCTCTTCCTTGTAGATCTTTAATCTAGGTTTGTCAAGGTTTATTTGAGAGATCACCTTGACTACTGGAATAGGGGTCCCCAAGCTCTGCTTCTCAACCTGAACACCTTTCTCAAAGGCATCCGCCATAGTTAGGGTTCTGTTCCTGGATCAACATTGACCAAAAAATAACTTAAGGGGAGAAAGGGTTGATGTGCCTACAGGTCACACTCCGTCTTCAAAGGAAGCCAAAGCAGCAACCTGGGGGCAGGAACTGAAGCAGAGACCACAGAGGAATGCTGCTTACTGGCCTGCTCAGTGTGCTTTCTTAGACAATCCAGGAACACTTCCCCAGGAGTGATACTTTGATACTTTTCACAGTGGGCTTGGCCCACCCACATCCATCATTAATTAATAAAATGCCCTATAGACATGCCCACAGGGCAGTCTGATGGCCGTAGTTCCTCAGTTGAGGTTTCCTCTCCTAGTTTGTGTCAGGGTGACAGAAACTACTTAGCAGAGCATGCCATCCAAGCTGCATAAAGAAAGTGAGTCCTTGCTCATTCTTCAGAAATGTGTTGCCCCTTCTCTTCCTGTACCCACATGAGGAGAGCTGAGCCTCTGTTTTAGGGCTGCAGGGGAATACTTTTGCAGATAAGTAGAGCTGAGGAGCATTCTGCATTCTTGAAACAGGAATAAGCTAACTGGCAGTGTCTTGCTGAGACCCAGGATGTTAGCCCTGCATTGTTCAGTTTGAATATGAGAGATTATGTGAGTGAGAATTACCAAACACATACCTTGTACTTTGGTCTGGACATGAGGACACTGCTTTATTTGGTGCTTCTGTGACTGGGCCAGTGTCCTTTTTCACAGATGAAGGATGCTGTGGTACTCAAAAACACTGAACATCTTGCTCCTGCAAGCCTTTATTGTGATGGCTCCTATAACTCCATCATAGAGTAAAATAGACCAAAGGATTCTGGGCTTTGATTGATTAATCATTTCTTGTTGAGGTGATATATCTTTAAATTATTGCATTTTTAAAGGATTGCTATAGTGCAAAATTGAACAAAAAATACACAATTATATTTTCCCTAGATTCATTTTCAGTATGATTTGTTTTCAATTAGTAGATTTCATATTTTTAATTTGGATGGTGCTGTATATTGAACCCAGAGTCTCATCATGCTAGATAAGTCCCATACTAATTAGCTACATCACTAATCCTGGGGAAAAAACATATATTAGAGCAGTTTTTTAAGTTTATCGTTTTCAGTTAGCAGACCACAGAGTCCCTTATGCCTTATCTCTAACTATGACCCCTGTTAGTAACAACTTTGGGTAGTTTGCTACAATTCTTACTATAGGTGAGCTAATATTGACACACAATTATTAACTAAAGTCTGTAGTTTACATTAGGGTTTCCTCTTGTGTTTTTGTTCCTGTTATACATTCTAAGTATCTCCACAAAGGTGTAACAGCACGTATCTACTACTATGTGTCATGCAGGATCATCTTCCTGCCCTGAAAGCGCTGTGTTCCACCTATCCACACTAACACACACACACACACACACACACACACACACACACACACACACACACACACACACACACACCCCTCTTGGATCGATCTGTTGTTTTGCCCCTCATATGGGTATTTTACTAACCCTCATGTCAGAGTTCCTTATTCCCTCTGAATTTCTTCCTTGGTGATCAAACCTGACCTGATATTTCACTTCATCACAGTCACAGCTAGTGGTGACCACACACAGTGTGGATACTTCTTCATATCACTCAGAATCCTCTTGCATGGAAGGTTTCTCTTTCCAGAAACTTAGTGTTAACCTTCTAAATTTGATCGTAAAAATATTTACTTCCCCCAGGATTCTGGTGAGGCTTTAACTGTGATGGCGTGGGGAGAGCCGTTTCAGTATTTGCAAAGGAAGAGTCCCTGAAATAACTGTCTGCTGACTTGGTTGTCTGTGATGATAGTGCCACCTCCAAGGTGGCAAAGACAAAGGAACTGAGCCCCACAAATTCCTAGGTGACAGTTAGACTAGACAGCCGGGCTGCCTGACAATCAATGCTTGGATCAAATGCAGGGAACCGCCGGGCCTCGGGACAGGCCCGTGGGAGCTGCCGTCCCCCGTGGACTCCCTCACCCTAGCCTCTTGCCCACACCCTTTCATTTGCGCCATCATCAGCTAATGTTTGTGAACTGTAGCAAAGGAAGTACTGTAGCTGAAAGTATGGATTTGTGCTGTTGCCTGTCTCCACACGTGGCGGGACCATCTGAAAGCACTTCTCCTTATTTATTACCTTGTTCCACAAGAGGGAGAAAACACAGACCACTGCACGCTGGGCCGGAGAAAAGGAAGAATTCAG